CATGCCTGAGAAGTACCCGTATGTGCGCTCATAGCGCATGCACAACTTTAACCATGCCCCCCAAAATGCTCGTTCACATCAAGCACGTCAATTTGCGTACACGTAACAGCACCGCACGTTCATGACAGCATGGTAATGGTTTGTTATTATAATAGATTTGATATTAACGAGGCGGCAGTTAGCAGCTAGCGGTTAGCTAGTAATTATGCTAATTTACACATCAATCGTTATGTACTTTTATATTACGCTGTAACAGGATCTAGTGATATCCCAGCAACAGAGCTTCATTTAGCATGAAAGAATTATTGCACTGTATATATATATATATATATGTATATATATACAGTGCAATAAGCTTCTTAGTGCAATAAGAAGCTACAGGGACGTTAATCTACGTCGGTAATATTAACTTTATTTAATACAACATTTACGGTACAAGATTTAATCATACAGCCCATGTAGTATAATATTTTACAAATGATGAATTACAGCAAACATGTGCAATATATCCATTATTACAGCTCCGTGGGCTGGCAGTAAGGCGACATGGGTCCGTTCTTATTGTGCATCCATGGGTAAAGATAAACGCATGTAGTGCTGAACACGTAACATGAACGTGCCGGGCGGCGCGGTCCCATGGGTTAGATGCGTGTTCATAATGCAGAGGGAAATAACTCTCAGAATAACGTTATTAGCACATTTTTACAACTTGAGGAACGAATGTTTTTAATAAGGGCTATACAAGTGTTCATACTGGGTAGTTTATTTAGTTTAAAAAAAATTATCCAACGATTTACAGACCACTCTTTCCCCATGTAAGTCAATGGGAAAAAGTGTTTCCGGGCCTGGCAACCAAAAGGAAGTGTAGTACCGCCGTTTGGCCAGCACGAATATTTTCATCTGAGTCCAGCGCACTTCCTGGGGGCTTGGGTAAGTACACAACACGGGAGTCGGGACGTCACGTGCCTCAAAGGTTGAGAAAGGTTGAGCTCCCGCCCACATAGAGTGGCGAAGTCACGCCCATCTACTTCCGGTCCATGGGAGTGGTCATTCTATAATACACACAATTTAAGCCCGGGGGAGAAATGCTAACGCTAACGCTAGCGATCTTTTCTACTTCATGCTATCTGCACAAATGGTTGACATTAAACATTAAAACGACCAGGCAGTTCAGAGAGAATCAAAGGAAGGCAGGCAGGCAGCTTTGCATGACTTTCTTCAGGACGTGTTTCATTGTGGTGATAGTGAGGGTAGTCAATCGTTTTGTTAACAAGACAGTAGTGACGGCCATCTTGGTGACGTGTGTTGTTGACCAGAGATGTAGTTCATTGAGCTCATGTGTTACTTCACAGTTTTACGACACATTTTTTTTTTTTTGACTTGCAAAATTATCTTTTAAATTGACAAACATCATATGTGTAATTCGTGGCACAATTCAAACGGGATCGAAAGATAATCTTTCTCTCTCCATTGACTTCAATACATAATTTTTCCGAAATAAGGTCCCATGGAGCTCCACCGGAAAGGGAGGGACTTCGCCACTCTATAGAGCTCATTGAGGCATTGCGCACTGCATTGAGGGGTACTTCAGAGAAACGGCCGCATCAGAGCCAAAGTCGTATCGGCAATTTGATTTAAAAAAAGCCGATACCGATAATCTGTAAAATGCGGAATATCGGCCTCGATAATCGACCAGGCCGATAATCGGTCGACCTAGTTTATACCCTGAAAACTGACTGAATTGGGTGAGTACTGACAGCATGGCAGGCAGTGGCGGCTGGTGGAAAATATTTTAGGTGGGGCTGTGGAAATGGTGATCAAACAATACTAGAGGGGTCCGGGGGGATGCTCCCCCGGTAATTTTTTTTGAGAAAAGACCCCTTAAATCATGACTTCTGGTGATGTTAGAGGGGGGGGGAGGACAATTTGAGGCTTAAAAATATGAGAAGACTGATCAATACCTCCATAACTTCAGTGTGGTTAGCTATGAATCTTCCAAAACTTCCAAACACCTTGTCCTGGACATAGTTTCTACAGCATAAACTGTGCAACAGTACAGTAGGCCCACACAAACTGCAGAACACCGGGGCTTTGGGAACACTGATTTAATTCCCATTTAACCTGTTAAGGGGCTTTTTTCCCCCGTTTTTTTTCTCACGAAACTGTGTCTCAGGGCTTCTTAAAATGTAATAAACTATTCATGTGTCATACTATTCATACTCAGAGGAAACGCATCTAACTGATGATATGAACCATGTTTACCGAAACAAAACACAAGTCTCACAAGAAGCATCTAAATGAGCCCTGAGCGAAAAAATGCTAACGCACTCTAGGTATAAATCAATCGATATACTTATCGGATATGCACAAACAAGTTTACAAGCTGAGATTCCACATATTCACGACATCACACGACGTAGCTTTAGGTAGCAAAACATGGAGATATGCTCACCTTTTGCAGAATAACAATTCTGATCAAAAACGAGAAAAACGCAGCTGAAGGTTAATCCATAGGTTAATCCAATGTGTCTGTCACTTTGAAAAATGATTGATGATCCATAATTCCATTTTTATGTCAAAAACGGAGTTTTCATTAGCTGCTAAATGGTAGCTTCCAGAGTGTATGACAGCTTCCTGTTTTGTCTCCTTGGATACGAGTCCAAACAACTCACAGACTGCACCGGGCGCTCACGGAGGAGCCCTGTGACCATCATATTTGACGACGCTGATTGGCTGAAATTATGTTTTCGCGGCATAGTTTACACGTTACAGATAGCAACAGTCAGCTGCTAGTGGCTGCTGCTGCACTGGTTGAGGGCTCCTCTCTTAGCGCCCAGACGAGAGAAGGTACACGGACAAGGCCAGGCAGGAAACATGTGACTTATCAGTAACTTTAGACATCGTAACACAATTTTAAACGAGATTTTATTGTAGATTATACATTTTACTGATACCAATTATATAATATTTACCTTGTTCATTAAAAATAAAAATAAAAAAAAAAATATTTTTTTAAATATATTTTTTATTTTTATTTTTATTTTTATTCTTTTTTGTTAATATGGGAAGAGGTGGGGCGGCGCCCCTAGCGCCCCTATGGACCGGCCGCCACTGATGGCAGGCAATAAGTAGCTGAATTCGTTAAGAAAAGTAAAAGATCGTCCGCATAAAGGGACACTTTATGTTCGACCCCACTCCTCCAAATCCCAGAAACATCTTGGCTACTGCGAGGTGCGATGGCCAGCGGCTCCATGACCAGATCCAAATGTAACGGGCAACCTTAGGGGCAACTTCATACAAGTGCCTCGTTGGAGGCTGAAAGATATCGTGTTTTTGTTTATTTGTTTTCCATTTCAAATGTGATGTTGATCGGATGTGAAAAGGGTTCACACTGAGATTTCTGCCAGTGCATGGGAGCTCTTCAACATAAGAGGCAAGTTGAAATGTCCTTTGCCTGGACATTTCAGAGTAGAAACACTCCCTCATCTGAGGACCAATAAAACACACAGTCACTGAGAGTGGTTTGTTAGGAAGTTTATTAAAATATTTACAAGTATGTCTGTCACCAAGACGGAGACTGTCTAAGTTTACTATAGAGAAGAACATGTACAGTATAAGGTGCAAAAACAAAAGCCCCCCACACAAAGCTACGCTATGTACAACAGGTTCACATTTACTGACATCAGACATCTTGCTCGGGTATAAGCCATGCTGAGAAAACAGGGAATCCACATTTACTAAAATCTTGTTGATAGGACCTCTTATAAGCCTCTTTCTTCAAGTTGACATGCTGCGTACACCCTAGTTCACAGACTTGTGGGGTATCGGTTTGAAAATAAGAAAGAAATAAAACATTGACATGAGCGAGGAGCCGTTAGCTGTGCTGTATGTAGCATCAGTAGTGAATGCTAACACTACTTCTGTTTACAATCCCAACAAAGCAAACTAGCAGTACAAACATGACAGCCAACGTAACACAGTGTATCAGAGAAATATAAAGCAATTAGAAAGCTCTAATACCCCTTTCACACCAACGCAACTCCGGTTCAAGCTCCGTGCTAGAGCTTTTCAGGTTCGGAACCGGTACTTCGGTTTAGCTCCGGCTCTTTTCACACCGCTCAGAGACCGACTGGTGCTGCCGCTGCTGCGTCATGACGTCACAGTTTACGTCGCTGATTTTCTCCCCAACGGAGCTCACCTCACAACAACAACGGGCCGGGGACTGCGTTGCTTTTAATCATACGAAGCCAGATTAAATTAAATAACGACTTCTCCAACCTTATACTTTTCTCCAGAGTGCCGTGGTTCATTGTTTATTAATGTGTTTCAGCGGCATTTACCGACCGCTGCAGTGCTGGCTGCTCTTCCACGAGTGTATTCTCCCGTTAGCTCCGGGTTAGCTCACACGGCTCTAAAGTATTCACTGTCTGACTGTCACACAAGCAGCTGATACATATCCCCAGTTCCCCTTAAGTGAATGTGTGTCAGTCTGAATTGACGCTGTTTGGCATCACAACGCTGTTATGAAAGTTTCTCTGCTATAACATGGGTGATGTTAGCATAGCAACCGAAGCTAAACTGACTACTTGCTAAGCCGTTTTCTACAGGCACTTTTTACCGGCGTATTTTTCATTATGATTCTACTTGTGATAGTCGGACATGACAACCTGTGCAGCCCATGTATTGATTCCATCCGATAGCTGCTATAATAACAAACAAAACGTCTGCCTGCTCTCCACAATGATCAATAACAGCGAACGGATGGTCAAAGTAAGGTACAAATAAACAGAATCACACGAAGCCTGGTTAGTGTTGCCTGACTTTATAAAGCGTGTTTTTTTTTTTACAAGTGTGTGGTTGCGTTCTAGTCACTTTGCTCAGCACTACTGCTTGTTACAACTTTTATTTGCCGTACTCGCCTTAACTGTTAGCTCAGGTTAATCTCGCCCCCCTCCGACGTAAGCGTGACGTATGCGGTTCTTGCTTCTAGACGGACAACTTTTTGGTGCTCGAAACGAACCGGATTCCGGAGCTTAGAGGCTGCTCCGCTGCGGTGTGAACAGGAAAACCCGGTGCTTTTCAAGCACCAGCACCGAACCGGCCCTGAAACACCGTTGGTGTGAATGGGGTATAATAGAAATGTGACTCGAGTTCGTGAAAATTATATTTGAGGGGCTTAGAATGCGACTTGGAGGCTTGGTGCGCAAACACACTGGCACCAATGCACTTCATTTGTAGTTGTAGCTTGCCAAAACTGTGATTACTGGATAATTACTATTTCACTTAATTTATTAGTCTGATGTTGTGATCATGTTTCCCCTTTTCTGCAGTGGGGGACTTATCTGTTTTATCAATGTCATTTTCGGTCAACAAAGAAGCTAACTTAATTACATTGAACTAAGTTAGTTTCTGTAATCTGTAGCGCTGCGTCCATCTCATTTCTGTTTGTTCACATTTTTATATCACTTTTTTCAACTTGGTATTGGTAGATTTTTTCAACCAGCGGGAAAAGACATTAGCAAACTATGCACCAATTCAAGGATTTGGGCAGTAATTCAGAGGTCTGGAGCCCGCCTCGTTTGTTACCATATTGAGTCTTTTTTTGATAGCAACGCTACAAGCTTTGTTGTACTTGTATTTCTTTGAGTAAAAATACAAGATCAGTATTGGTATAATTTGTGTTCATGTAATAACTCATAAAACACATTGTATTAATAATGAATGACATTATTAATAATTTATCTGCAAAAATGTCCTTAAACTGTCCCAACCTTGACCAAGAAAATAAATAATATCTGTTGTTATTAATGGAATGAGACAGGTTTGTGAATCAAATGTCAAATTGTGATTTTAATCAAAAATGTTTTTTTCTTTCTGCAACTATACAGCTTTGCATTAATCCAGCCATACAGATGGAACTCCACAATTAATTGTGCTTTCTCAGAGTTAAGATAATCTGGGGAGCGACTGGGCAATGCTAATGTTACTCTTACTGATCTGATAAATGCTGCTGTGGGTTATGATTATTTGAATGCATTTTGTTAGCAGAAGCTGACCTGTGACCTTGTAGGAGATGGGACTCTGTTAAGCGCAACTCATTCATCAAAATCAAACTTTAAATATATCAACATAAATAAACAAAGGGAGCTAGTATTTGCTCTACACCTTTACAAATAAATACTTGGTTTTCACCTTTTTGAATCCACACTGTCAATCTGCTGGAACAGACTTCTGAGAAAACAACTAAAGGACACAGGTTGCACATCTCCATGGTGACTCAGTTTAAAGGGTTGTAGTACTGACAGGACACTAAAAGCAACAACTGCTTCTGTTCATGTGATTGCCATGTGGAAAGGACTGTATGAAAAGTTTTAAATAAATATATACACACATTTCTTGAAAAGTAATAAAGGATAACAAATCAGACTGATGTGATGGGGGGGTTTATGTGCCTGTCTTCTGCTCCCATTCCTGAAAAACAAACACACAAAACAAAAAGGTTATCTCCAATAATTATCTTAATCGGCAGTACTATCGCATATTGAAAAATGTTCAAACAAGTAGAGTCAAATAATGCAAATGTGATAAATTAAGAGATGTATGAAAAAAAGTAAAACAATGTTTTTTAGCCTAATCCTGCAAAAAGCCATTAAATTAATCAACCATACGTAGGTGTTGTCGATGTCAAACTTCTTACATAAGCCATGATACGTTGTCAACATATCAGTGTCAGAGAAACCTATTTTGAAATGTTGAAACATTTCAAAAACCTATTTTGAAATGTTGAAATGTTGACTGTGCATAAAAGCTAACTATTACTATTACAAGTAGATATCAAAAGAAGTACCTCTAAAATACTATGAGCTTACAGACTCAATCTCATTGTATTGTGGTGTTGAGAATATGGATGGTGACAGCCTTCTGCTGTCCTACAGAAAGGTTTGGGTTCTGCATGGCATGTAGTTAGAGTTTCTGCCACCTTTAGCAGAATGCGTGAGTCAGTTTGAGTCCTTTGTAACATATCTGCAACCATCACAAATTGACTTACGTTTGTGAATTTAAATAATATACCGTATACAGAGTGAACATTTTGGTAACAGGAGCAAGATTTAAATAACTCAGATGTTAAAACCCTCTCCACTGCAGTGAGCAACTGACTGAAGATTATAGAGACACACCGACTGTCAGAAAGACTTCTGACTTCTATTTTGTTGGCTAGCACAAAATGACAGTTTATGTTTGTTTTCCAGACGGAAAACAAACATAAACTGTCATTTTGTGCTAGCCAACAAAATACCTTTTTAGTCCAATAAAGTCCTTAGTCTAAAGAACCGTTTAAACGTTTAATCATTGTTCTATGTTAAAGTATGCACAACTGCTATGAAGGATGGTTTTGAGCTCTGTTCACGGATTCCTCGTTTCCCAAAGGGAAGCATGCTTCGCACTCACAGTTTTTTGTACTTTTACTGAAAAAAAAATCATTTTTACTGTGCATATCATTTTAACACTGCACAACTGGTAGCACAACAAAAAGGCATACTAGAGGAATAAGAAAGCACGATAAGTGTGGCACATTTAAGACTTCAAGTGGGCACACAGAATTAGGAAGGCTGAAAAACAAGACAACTACTACACAGAGCTTTTACACATTGCTGTGGCCCCTGTCTGCCTGTGACCTCTGACCTTAGCTTTCCTGAGGACGTGGCCCCGGACCGCCGGCGCCTTCTGGCCCTGCTGCCTGCGGAGAAGCGAGGCGCTGTTGACGGGCAGCGAGCACGACTCTGTGTCACTGGTGTCACAGCTGGAGAAAGGGGAAGACTCCTGTTTCTTTCGCAACATAGCCGGTGACTACACACGCACACGCACACGCACACGCACACACACACACACAGACACACACAGGGGAAATTATGAATTGTGCCATGCAGTTTATATAAAACTAGCAACCTGAGACAGTAACGGTGTTTTTACCTTGACTCCAGAGGAGCCAGCCTTTGGTTCAATGGTGAGGCCCAGGGTGACCCCCCCGCTCAGGGCTTTCTTCAGGCTTTCCTTCACCTCTGTCAGCTCCAGCTCTAGGGTCACCCGCTCCTCCTCCCTCTGCCTGCAGTCTTCCTCCACCTTCTTCAGTCGCTCCGTCAGAGAGGCCAGTGAACGTTTGCCTTGTTCAAGAGGAGAGGGGAATATATTTGTGAATGTTTTTTCACTTTATTCAAGATGTTCCTGTAAACTCTAGTTAGTCCTACCAGGTGAAGTCTCTACTGCAGTGCGCAGGTCTCTCCTCTCCTTCTTCAGCTGGGTCAGATGGTTCCTGATCTCCTGCTTCTTCTTCATCAGCTCTCCCTCTTTAGTCTGCAGCCGCTTGGCGTCGGCCTCCACCCGGTTCTTGCCATACTTACACTGCTCTGCATCTGCAAAACAGGGATTGGTTGTGAAAAAGCTTGATTAAAAAATATGAAGTCCTGCAGGCTTTTTACTAGAACTACAGTAGGCAGTGTCCTCTTTCTAATCATAAGGTATTTTATAATATGCAATCAATCTAAAAACATTTTTTAAGATTCATACATTTAATTGTAAAAGGCCAAACCTAAAAAGATGTCACAAGGATTTAAGACTAGAATACAATATAAATATATTGCCACTGAACCTCTGCTGTCCACATATTTAAAACTGAAAAAAAGGGATCTGGTGTTCTTGCAGGAGACCCACCTGGAAAAAAAGGACTCTTTATTATTTCAGAGGGATTGGGTAGGAAAGGTTTTTTATAGTGCTGGATCATAGTAGGTGATCTGACTGTTGTTTAAGTATTTCCCCTCTGGCTAGAGGTAGCCAGAGGGGTGTTGCCATTTTGATACAAAATAATCTCAAAATGAAAATACTTAAACAACAGTCAGATGAAGAGGGGAGATGGATAGCTATCGATACTGAATGATATGGTATTAGATGTACTTTTATGAATATATATGCCCCAACAGTGCACTTGCCGGGTTTCTTTATAGTCGTCAGCAATACTATAAGACAATTCAGAAACTCGTATATAATATTAGGTGGGGATTTTAACAAAGTTAGGGACCCTCAAGTTGATAAAACCTATAGACGGGGTATAATACGACCCTCAGGGGCTCAGAAAGCTATTGACGCAATGGAAAAAGAGTTAGGATTAGTGGATGTATGGAGATTGTTCCACCCGCTGGAAAGGGAATATACCTTTTACTCCAACCCACATACATCCTATTCAAGGATAGATTATTTTCTTATCTCAAAGTCACTCATTTCTATTACAGAACAACATCCATAGGTTGTTACCTATCTTAAAGGTCCCATGTCATGGCCATTTCTACTGATCATAATTAGATTGTTGAGGTCTACTAGAATAGATTTATATTGTTCAATGTTCCAAACTCACATTGGTTTCTCATACAGCATCTCTGTATAGTATGTGTATTCACTCTCTGTCCTAAACGGCTTGTTGGAGCTCCTGCTCCCCCTCCTTGTGAGCCCAGTGTGCTCCGATTGGTCAGCTCGGCCACTCTGTTCTGATTAGTCAACCACCAGAGAGGCTCCGCCCATGTCTAACACAGTGCTTTTTTCGGCTCTGAAGCGGAACATCAGTTTTACAATGGCGTCGGTACAGCCGTATATGTTATACGCTAACTAACCGAACTGTACCTACAACTGTTGTATTTAGGTGCACTTGTGGAAACTGCGCCATGATGCCTACCGAAGTGGAAAACGTCTGTTGCTAAGAAATTAGAAAGGTAGCCTAGCTGACAGTTACAACATTATGTAGCCAGCTAGCTGAAAACACCAACAGTAGCACACAACATTACAGTATATGCCAAGATATACACCATACATACCCCACACCCTGCAGAACCTCCATAACATGTACAGATTTGATTATAGACCTTTGAGGCGTAGAACGGAAGAAGAGTTATTTTTTTAAGTTATTTTTACCTGTAATAAACTACTGTGTTTGATGAAAAATCAAATCATGGTTTGCTATATATGAATGATATGTTATAGGAGCAAATAATTCAGGGAAGAAAGGCTACTAAGTATTTCCATCAAACTTTATTTTTAGAAATGTACAAAATGAACATGTGTAAATATACATATATACACATTCCTCCCCTTATAGGCGTTTTCGGCATCTTGCCTATCGCAGCTTTGTAAGCTGGTGCTGGGGCTTTTTAGGACGAGGCATCAGAGTGGTCATCCCTTCATGTGTTGTCCGCCGGATACGCCAGGAGTTTCCTGATCTGGCTGGACGAAATCAAATGCAAATCACAAAATATTAGAGAAACTTAGTTGTTTTAGGTTCGTTAGCTTGCCAGCTAGATTAATATGCTAACCTACGTTTGCTAGTTGTTCAGTGTAATATGCCAACCTACTATGAACAACAGCTAGTGGTTCATATTAGACTAGCAAGAACATGTTTATATTTGCAATCTTATACGGGTAGTCTGCTACGTTCAGTCATTCATTGTAGCTGGCATAAAAACAATGTTTTCCCTAGCATGTCTAGCTCTTGGTAGCCTTCTTTTTTAGCTCGGTAGCATACACGCTAGGAACGCCAACTATAATGTAATTAAGTTTCGCGACTGACCGTACGGTAAATCACCCGGAGAATACTGTCTATGAGTATTTCGTGTGTGAATGCAGACATTCTCCTGCTATGAGATACATGTAAGTCCCTCTGCTGACATTGGAGTTGATGTATGGAAACGCTAGCAACTTAGTTAGCCCAGTTAGCACTGTGTCAATGGCTTAGCAGCCCGAAAAACGTTGACCCATTTAAACAGTCGTGGTAGATACCTTGTTTGTTTTAAACATCATAAATACACAAACAACAATGAATACTTACAGGTTGTGTACCCGAATCTCCTGCTGGTCCAAACAAAGTAGGAACAGCATCGTCCTTCAGTGTCCTACGCTGTGCATATCCGGCATGAATCGCTGCAATGTTTGCGAGGGTGCGGCCATAGCTCTGGGCGTGGCTACTGGGTATCCCTACGTCACGATACCCAGGAAGAAAACATTGGAAAATGAGAAATCTCCAACGAGGCGTTTTGGGGAGGTCTGTGTTAGAGTTTTACTCCCTACAGGGTGTACTTTGAGGGTTTTTGACTCTGCAGACTCATGCATAAAAACCTTCATAACACACAAGGGGACGGGTAATAACCGGAAAAGCATGACATGGGACCTTTAATATCAGATCATGCTTCAGTCGGGATAGCGTTTTGTTTAGGCCAAATGCCAAGAACCCCACCCACTAGGTGGAGATTTAATACATCCCTACTCCGAGATGGACAGTCCCTGGAATTTATAAAAAACTAGATAATGGATTATTGGCTGAATAACGAAGGCTCAGTTTCAAACACAGCCGTGGAGTGGGATGCATTTAAGGCGGTTATTAGAGGTCGACTCATTCAACACTGTTCATATCTGAAAATGAGATCGGTTCAAAGGCTTCAGGAACTGGAGCTGGAAATAAAAAATCTGGAAAATATACACTCTTCCCAGCCTGACCACGCTACCCTTCTGGAACTAAACAAACTAAAAGTAGAATTTAACTCCATATTACAGAAGAAAGTAGAATATGAATAATTTAACAGAAATATTATGAACAAGGGGAAAGAACAGGGAGATTTCTGGCGCAGAGAGCAAAGCAGCAGTATACACAATCAATGATACCAGCAAAACAAAACGATAGGGGCGATCTGAAGACAGACATTAACGCTATATTTAACATATTTGATCAAGATCTCTATAAATCAGACAATCCTTAGTGTCAGAATATAAGACATTTTCTATCTGAGATAAGATGCCCAACCCTGTCAGACAAAGAACGGGGTGAAATTGGAGTGGACATTACCTTAGAGGAGGTTAAAAAGGCCATCAAAGACTTACAGAATGGTAAATCCCCTGGGGAGGATGCCCTCCCAGCTGATTTTTATAAAGCCTTCTCAGATTTACTTGCCCCAAGACTACTTGGAGTTTTTAGAGATGTGTTAGAGAGGGGATCCCTCACAGAAAGTATGCAAACTGCTTTAATCACTTTGATTCATAAAAAAGGTAGGGACCCCCAACAGTGTGGTAGCTACCGACCCGTATCACTGATTAATGTTGATGCTAAGATACTGTCCAAGATTCTGGCATCTAGACTGGAGGGTTGGTTACCAAAATGTATCCACCCTGACCAAGTGGGCTTTATTAAAAAAAGGACATCATCTGACAATCTCCGCAGGTTGCTTCATCTTAATGCAAGCTGGAAATGAACCTGATATAACTGTAGCTCTCTTGCTTGATGCTGAGAAAGCATTTGAGAGGGTAGAGTGGATGTTCCTTTTCCAGACACTGGAGAACTTCAGCCTTGGTCCATCTTTTATTAAATGGGTCAAATTATTATATAGAAATCCAAAGGCATCTGTGGTAACAAATGGCAGGAAATCCCCCCCCCCCCCTTTGAATATGAACAGTGTTGAATGAGTCATATGCCCCTTTCACACCAACGTGGTTCCAGGGACGGTTCGGAGCTAGAGCCTGATAAGCACCGGTGTTTCCTGTTCACACCACAGCCGAGCTTTTCTTACCAAGCTCGAAAAAATTGTCCGTTTAGAAGCAAGAACCGCATACGTCACGCTTACGTCAGAGGGGGGCGAGATTTACCTGAGCAATAACAGTTTATGGCGAGTACGGCAAATAAAAGTTGTAACAAGCAGTAGCGCTGAGCAAAGTGACTAGAACGCAACCACACACAAAAAAACATACTTTATAAAGTCAGGCAACATTAACCAGGCTTCGTGTGATTCTGTTTATTTGTACCTTACTTTGACCATCCGTTCTCTGTTATTGATCATTGTGGAGAACAGGCAGACGTTTTCTTTTTTATTATAGCAGCTATCGGATGGAATCAATACATGGGCTGCACAGGTTGCTATGTCCGACTATCACAAGTAGAATCATAATGAAAAATACGCTGGTAAAATGTGCCTGTAGAAAACGGCTTATGCCACAATAGGATAGGAACAAGTAGTCAAGATAGTCAGTTTAGCTTCGATTGCTATGCTAACATCATCCATTTTATACCAGAGAAACTTTCATAGCGTTGTGATGCCAAACAGCGTCAATTCATACTGAAACACATTCACTTATGGGGGATGGGGGATATTTATCAGCTGCTTGTGTGACAGTCAGACAGTGAATACTTTCCAGCGGACGCTGCCGTGAGTTGACGGGAGAATAAACTCCGGTGGACGAGCAGCACTGCAGCGGTCGGTAAATGCCGCTGTAACACATTAATAAACAATGAACCACGGCACTTTGGAGAAAAGTATAAGGGTTGAGAAGTAGTTATTTAATTGAATCTGGCTTCGTATGATTCGCACGACCATCGACCCGACGCAGTCCCCCATTGTGGTTGTTGTGAGTGCCGTTGGGGAGAAAATCAGCGACGTAAACGGTGACGTCATGACGCAGCAGTGGCAGCACCAGTCGGGCTCTGGGCGGTGTGAACAAAACGGGGGCTGAAAAGAAAAACTGGTTCCGAACCAGAGCGCAAGCACGGAGCTAGAACGGGAGCTGCGTTGGTGTGAAAGGGGCAATAGAGGAACAAGGCAGGGCTGTCCTTTATCTCCCTTAATCTTTGCGCTGGTACTTTTTTACATTACATTACAAGTAACAACTTGTTTGACGCTTTTATCCAAAGCACACTATTCCACTGCGCCACGATTATTCGGACACCCGCTAGGTGCTGGGCTCAAAACATTAGCCTGCTTCACATCATTTTCTATCTGCCAGGAGACCGCCCCAACCACGCAGTTCAGTGGAAGGATTGCCTCTGGTTCCTTGGCAGTGGGCTCTGGCTCAGAGTCGTGACAGTGCGTCTGGTTTTCCATTCTGAGTACCCGGTCAGAAGGAAATCGTGAAATTGAATCTGTTAAAGAACAGAGACCAACGGGACTGACGTGAATTAAGTCTCTTGGCTTTCCTGATATACTCCAAGTTCTTATGGTCTGTCCAAACAATAAAAGGTTGCTCCGCCCCCTCTAGCCAGTATCTCCACTCCTCTAATGCTGCCTTGACCGCTAGCAACTCCTTGTCACCTACAGCGTAGTTTCGCTCAGCTGAGGACAACTTACGGGACAGGTAGGCGCAGGGGTTCACCTGCATAAGAGTCACGGTAGCCTCCCTGGAGGTTGAGGTCTGATCGAACACCCGGCTCATAGTGTCTTAAAAATCGGAATACAACCTTGAGGTCTGATCGCCACGGCTGAATGGGCTCGAGAGTCTTGAACCCATTCAGCCGTGGCCCATGCCAGAGTTAAGTCTGGTCCAGTGCTCTGTCTGAGAGTCACCCTCACACAGAGTTAAGTCTGGTCCAGTGCTCTGTCTGAGAGTCACCCTCACACAGAGTTAAGTCTGGTCCAGTGCTCTGTCTGAGAGTCACCCTCACACAGAGTTAAGTCTGGTCCAGTGCTCTGTCTGAGAGTCACCCTCACACAGAGTTAAGTCTGGTCCAGTGCTCTGTCTGAGAGTCACCCTCACACAGAGTTAAGTCTGGTCCAGTGCTCTGTCTGAGAGTCACCCTCACACAGAGTTAAGTCTGGTCCAGTGCTCTGTCTGAGAGTCACCCTCACACAGAGTTAAGTCTGGTCCAGTGCTCTGTCTGAGAGTCACCCCTCACACAGAGTTAAGTCTGGTCCAGTGCTCTGTCTGAGAGTCACCCTCACACAGAGTTAAGTCTGGTCCAGTGCTCTGCTGAGTCCAGTTGCTCTGTCTGAGAGTCACCCTCACACAGAGTTAAGTCTGGTCCAGTGCTCTGTCTGAGAGTCACCCTCACACAGAGTTAAGTCTGGTCCAGTGCTCTGTCTGAGAGTCACCCTCACACAGAGTTAAGTCTGGTCCAGTGCTCTGTCTGAGAGTCACCCTCACACAGAGTTAAGTCTGGTCCAGTGCTCTGTCTGAGAGTCACCCTCACACAGAGTTAAGTCTGGTCCAGTGCTCTGTCTGAGAGTCACCCTCACACAGAGTTAAGTCTGGTCCAGTGCTCTGTCTGAGAGTCACCCTCACACAGAGTTAAGTCTGGTCCAGTGCTCAGCATGCTTCGTCTTGAGGGGAGCAAAGGTTTCAGGTTTTTAAGTTATTCAAACCACCTGCTATTTTCCAAACGGCTGCAGAGTTGAGTTAGGCTAGGAAGCAAGGTGAGCAGGTGGTGAGGCTGACACACTGTCTCATACTAGAGAGAAGAACCGACTGAAAAGGGTGGATTATTATCAGAGTTTACCATTTGAGGACATTTGAACTTGGATTGAATATGAAACTCTTATATCACCACATACTCCACATGGGAAAAAGCAAAATCTCTTTTCTTTCTACTCACTGGAGCTGTTGCGTTGCAGAGAAGCTGTCCCATTGGTCCCGTTGACTCCATTCTTTTTGAGCTGGTTCTTTGGCTCTGCCTTGTGTTTTGATACCCCCCCATTGGGCCCAGTTCCCTTCTTTCCTTTCAGCTGATGGGAGAAGAACCAAAGGGAAGGAGACTTTTTAAATAAAAAAAATGGAACACTGCATCGTGGTCGATATTGTGCGCTTCATATCTGCGATTTTAGTGTTGCATCTGTGTGTTCACTCCTTCTAGACCTCTCAAATATCTCAGAAAAATTAAAACTGCACTGTATAAAGGTCAGCACTTAGAAATTATGGACAGGGGGGCACCAATTTCCAAGATTTCACTATTGCCCAAATATTAATTTCAACCTTCTCGAAGTCTTTGAAACCGTCAACAATTTGAAATGTTAGACTTGGTATTTGTATTTAAATATCTTCTTTGAAATGATTGGCATTAGTATTATAAGAGTAAAGAGCAAGTGTTAGGAAGTTGAATGGGTTCACACATCTATTTTTTATTCATGTAAACTAATCTCCTTCAAACTATTTATATTTAATTAAGTTTCTCAGCAAAAACGACATTTTACAAGATAAAATATGAACATATAACAACAGTTACCTTCGCACGATACAAATGTTACTGAATTCAACTAGAATGCAATATATTGAAACAATATGCAACCAATATGTTATTTTTCTAAGGAGTGTTTGTGTTACACACTCTTTCATGCATTTCCTTTATTTTTCGCTCTTATTTGTCAGAAAGCAAAACAGGTGCATACCATGTGTTGAGTTCTACACAGACTGTCTTTGTGATGAAATGTATGTCACTGAGTATGTCTTGCTGAAGACGAAAGAGTAATAGCATGATATTTAAAAAATAAACAAAATCTCCTCTCCATTTTGTCAGTAATGTGAAGCTTGGCAGTGCGGCCAGAAGCCTGCCCTCACCTCTGGGGATGAACATCTACTTGTTATACATCGGTGGAACTCTGTGGTCTTATGTCTGTGTTAACACCCTCTGCCACGCCACACACAGTACACACACAGCACACACGCCACACACACCGCACACACAGCACACACAGCACACACACCAAAGAGCTGGCGGGGGGAGGTGGAGCTCCACTCAACACAATGTGGCGACATAAGTGAAGTGAGGCAGGGTGGCACTTACAGCAGGGCCATACAAATATGAATGCATACAGCTGATGTTCACTGCAAGGGAGAAGAAGGAATTACACTGAGGACAACCACACACAGTCCAAACGTACAGACATTTTAGGAAAGCTTCCACTGTATATATGTGCCAGATTTGCTCCAGTTTGTGACTCTTACAACCTCAGATCCAGTGCCTGGATACGGTTCCAGGTACCTGCTGTGCGGACTGAGGCTGGAAAAAGGAGACTTTTTTATTATGGTCCTTGGTCTTGGAATGACCTTCAATCAAACCTAAAACTGATGGCACTTGTCCCAATAGCCTGTTTTCAATTGAAGTTGTCTGAAGTCCTCACCACCAGCTGCTCTTGCAGTAATAAGTAGTGTACCTTGCTTACTGTCCCAAATGTGCACAATGTAGTGACTGCTTTTTGTCTTTTTGTTTACTTAGTTGTGTTCTCTGTATTTTATATGTCTGTGTTATGTGTAATAATGTGTAACGTTGCTGCCTTCTTGGCCAGGTCAGCATTGTAAATGAGATTTTATCTCAATGCTTTTTATCTGGTTAAATAAAGGTTAAATAAATAAAATAAAAATATAAAGTCATTAAAACTAGCTGCACCTTTACCAGCTTTGATAACACTTTAAAGGTAGGGTAGGTAAGTTTGAGAAACCGGCTCGAGATCGCTAGAATTTGAAAATACACAACCGGAGAAAATCTGCCACTTCCTTATAGAGCCCCTCCTCCAACACACACAAACGCGCACATGACCAATGAGGGCACGAGATAAGTTTGTGCACAGATGGAAGGCTGACAGGCAGGTAGGCCATCCAATCATTTTAGCCGGGCCGGCTAACATAATTGGTCGTACTTTTTACAGTACTACGGCTTCCACAGATGACATTTTTGTATGGATTTTTTGTCAAAGCACATATATATTATTCTGAAATGGACCAATCTGGACAATGACTACTTTTACTTTTGCTATATTTTGATGCTCATACTTTTGTACTTTTACTTAAGTAACATTTTGAATGCAGGACTTTTACTTGTAACAGAGTATTACTACACTCTGGTACTTTTACTGAAGTACAAGATCTAAGTCGTTCTTCCACCTCTGCATGATTTCAGGACATACCCAGAGGTGGAATGTGCTTCACAGACTAACGGGAAAGAGGTGTGGGCTTGTGAGTGGCCAGCATTAACACCTTGTATATTGAGCTAAGCATGCTCATGCAGGAATAATAAACACTTTTTTTTTCAATAGTAAAGTATGTCATCATTTGGGATACACAATATATCAGTAGGTGACTGAAGCTGTTTATGGTTCTGTCTGAAACATTCACTTGACCATTTATGATTTGGTGGTAGGCCTATCAGCAATATGCTGTTCTTGACTGTATGTGATTTTAATGAAAATATGTAAAACATTTCTTTATCAGACACCTTTTAAAGCAACTGAATGCAGCTTTGAAAATAACTTGTGATTGTTGTTTTGTGTTAAAAAACGACACTTATATCAAGAAAAAGAAGAAAAAAAAAAAAAAAGCTTGCAGACGGAGAAGAAGAAAAACATGTTATCAGTAAAAATCATAATTGGCAGGTCAGACTTTAAAAAAACTGAAATAGGAATTGATGTAGCATCACTACTTGCAATATTATGTCAAGTCTCAGTGCTTCAGCAGAATCAAAGGCCCTGCACTTTTGCCAAGTCATACAGAGAAATATTGTTGCTAAGCGGGTCACGTTCACCTCCATTTTCTGAAAGTTATCAACACATGAGAAACATAAAAACCGATAACGGAAAATGATCTGATTATTAACTAAATTATACTATGTAATGTTGAAAAAAAAACACACGGTAAAGAGCATGATATAGTGAATTATAGACTGGTAAATACTAAGAGTATAGAGCAGAAAAAGTGTGAGTTGTAATGAGGAGAGTGTTAGTCACCTGAGCAGTGGCTTTAGTTTTAGTATCAGCAGTGAGGAACTTAGAGGAAACTTTAGAAACAGGAGCTTTGGCAGAAGTGGAAGCAGAGTTCAGCTTGGGAAGACAGCGAGAGGTCAGCTTGGGAGAAGGCATGTTCTCATATAGGTCAGAGTTTTCATAGTGCACCTCCTCTTTCAGCTGGCGCCCCCCTGTGCTGGGACTGGAGTACTGCGACTCCGGGTCCTTCAGTTAGACAAGCATGCAGGCCGAGAGGAGAGGGAAGAGGAAGAGACAAAATACACAACAGAAAGAAAAGTCAAAGGAGAGAAAGAAAGCAAGAGATGATAGCAGTACAAATGTTAGTTACACTACTTTTCCATAACAAGTGTCTGTGTACGGTATAATGTTGTTTTAACATGTAATATATCATATCATTCAGTTTATTTCATTTTGGCTTAGTTTCCATTAACATGGCCGTAGTGATTCGTGCTATAAGTCGTGCTTAATTTGAACTCCCCCCCTCAGTTTGCGAGAATCTCAGAAATAAGAACTCTCAAAACATTGAGTGGGGTAACATTTTAGTTTTTGAGGACCAAAGGCAGATTTGTAATTTGTTTAATTTCAAACAACTGATGTAAACTGACCTGCTGTACGATCATTATTCAGCTAAATCCAGCTGAACAATATATTTGTTAAGATCTTTACGCTAAGTATAACCTCAGATGTTCCCTTATGGCCGGAGAATGTTGTCCAGCATTGATCAGGCAAAATCCAGGCCTTTAAAAATCTCTTCCGGTTGTCTTGAGATACCAACATGCTGCTGTGATTGAGCGCTGTAGAGCATAATGCAATGTGGTGATTATAGATCACTGTGACCTGAGTTTAATCAGATTGTGATACAGGAAAGAGTGTGAGGCTTTTGTCGTGTCAACAAACCTCCTCCCTGCACTCTCTTACATTGACTTGTTTTTCAAACCGACTTGTACATTGTCTTTGATATGTAATGTAATTAAGAGCTAGATGGTTTACTGTGGTTAAGCTGCTTTAGCTGATTTGTTCTGTGTGTGTATCGCCCATGAGCAGGTGTGTTCTTACCATTCCGTTGATGGGCACGTCATCATAGTGCAGAGCCATGCCACTGGGGCAGGCGTAGCCGTTGACTGGGCTGTCCAGGTACGGGTTCGGAGAGACAGCACGCTTACTTGTAAAACTGTAAGGACAAAAGAAACGTTCCAATGTATTTAGTCCAGGAAGCTTTTCTAATATGCTGTGGCCTGTCAACACATAGGAGTAAAAAAACATGTTTTTAATTCAGCCCAGACATGATGTGCGGCAAGTCATAAAAGTGCTCAAAAATAAAGTTGCACCGGTATGAGGCGCGGTGAAAACTACCGGCCCAGGCAGCTGTCAGACTAGCGAGTGGGCACATTTCAGCTATCGGAGAATAATGAAGATGTGATTGGTTGTTCCACTCTCCGTTTGTTGCAAGAGTGGTAAGGTAGTTAAGTGTAAAAGTGTGGACTGGACTGACTGACACTGACACCAACGATGTCTTTGATCCTGCAAAAAAGAGGAGGAAAGGTGGCACAGAGAGAGAGAAAAAGAAAAGAGGAGGAGGCAGCCTGTCCTAAACTCACAGATTTATTCAGAGTAAGCCACATACCATTATACATAGTTTACAGGCAAAACTGGGCAACTAATTAACTCAATTTAGCCAAATACATTTTTTGCGCTCTCGTTTTCTATATTGTAGCCTGATGTGTACAGAGTAGACTGTCAACAAAAAAGTTTCTCAGTCCAAATATCAAGTAAGTTCAGTGCTGTTAGGCTATGCCAAGTATATGTAATACTACCGTTAGACTGCAGCTAACTGTGGCACTACAACTCTTCACAATGTGAGTGAATACGTAACTTGAGATGGTTAGGTTGTCTGTCCAACAAAGGGGAGAAAATTATTATGTTATTAGGCCATGCGAATTCAGGGGCAACTAAGTGATAAAGTCACTGTTATATAATTAACTACAGTGCTGGATCTCCCACAAAAGCAGCAACATTGGCACAAGAGAAGTACACTTTAATAGGCTATTATAAAGTCAGTATGATGTATTGTGACACCAGAGTCAATTGAAAAATAAGTTGTTGCCCTCATATATTTTCCTATGCAAAGGTGGAAATAATAGCAGTGCCGGTCCTTCACAGGGAGATGTTCAGGCAGAACCAAGCAGCAACACAGAGGAACTGGCAGCTACAGGGCAAAGTTATTGATATTAGTGAGATTAAAACTACAGTAGGGCTACCACTACGAATGGTTGAAAACCACATAAATGATGACATCAGTACATGTAGATGTTACAAACGAATTGAAACGATACATTTAAATTTCTTTAAACAATGGGTTGTGTGGTCACTTCTAATATCATGTACACAGTGAACATAATCATTAACCTGTTAAGCCCCGAGCCTGTTTTTCAGGTTTCAGGCTCGAAAATGACATGCCCAGAACAAATGACTATATCTTCACTTCTAAAAGGGTTACATTTATAATCTTTTTTCTCAAAGCAATGATACACCTGTGAGTTGGATGTAGAAAATTCAGAATCAATATAGATGTTTTTATTTTAAAGTAAATTCAGATTGAACATAGTAAAAACATATAAATTATAGTTTCCGTCCAAAAGAAAACCCATAACTTATAGTGAAAACCACCCTTGAATGATGGGATCGGTGACAAAAAGCTTTAGGAATCCAAACTATAACATATAATAAATTGTTTTGTATCAAGATTGATGCAAAACAAGTGAAATTTGACCTTTTTAGAGAGGTTTAGAAAATAAACCCCACCTCTGGGGTCATTTGGGTGTATTTGCCATATCTCTGGAACCCATTGGTCGATTTTGGTGATTGACACCTCTTTTGAACCGTTAAAGCCAATAGAATCGAGGGGAATTTCCTAAATCCATCTAAACATTACCATTGAGGAGTGAGAGTGATGCGCACGCAGTTTGCCCAAACCAAAAGCTATGTTACGCTCTGAAAACTGAAAACTAGGCTTATTGCCATAAATATGATGATGGATTATCAGTAATCATTTCAAAGTGACACAGAGACATTGGATTAACCTTCAGCAGCGTTTGTCTGCGTTGTAATGCCCTTGAACACAACTTTTGATCAGAAACAGCAAAGGTAAGACGTATTTGCCGTTTTGGCTACGTAAAGTGAAATTGTGTGTTGTCTTTGCTGGCTTCCGCTGCCACGAGTTTTGGTCGCACAATGATGATACTTATACCATTGGAATCTCTGGAATCTCAGCTTTCATATGCTATCTAGTTTGTGCAGATCCAATGAAGTATAACATATTTCTACCGTGAATTATGTGCTAAGTGCGTTAGCACTCTTTCACTTATTGCTAATTCAGAGGCTCGGCGTTAGACTTGTGTTTTGTTTCTGTAAAAATGGTTCATATCGTCAGGTAGCTGAGTTTCTTCCCGTTAAGTGGGTATGACACATTCATAGTTTGTTAAATGTTAAGAAGCCCTCAGACGCTGTTTCTTGCAAGATGTTGCGGGAGCCCACGCTGCTCCCGCAACAGGTTAAGGCACAAGAACCTTCTTAAATCTGAATTAAGCCGTGTGTTAGTGTGTGGGCAGCAACGCTGTAAATATTGACGATGCAACCAACAAAAAAAAAAAAAAGCTGGAAGTGGCCTGGCTGGGTGAATAACTCCGACTTATTGTCCGGCCCCGGTGGCGCCCGTTGCCATGGTGCTGCCCGGCGCCCACTTCATTATTAAAGGCCACACCTGGAAGTTGTGTGCAATACTCCTGGAAGCAATATTTGTCATATACGTTTATATCATAATTGTTGTAATGTGTTGGGACCTCACAATATGGAAATGAGCCATAGATCTTAATTTCCCATTATACTCGTTGATCAGGAGCAAATATGTGTATGAGGACGCAGAGCAAAGTTCACCATACTATATAAGTAATGTTCATGATCAAAACAATAAAAACTTGTTAGGGTTTTAATCACTAGAATTTCTTTTTGTCATATACCAGAAGGACTGCTTGGCCAGCTGGATGACATTGGCGGTGGTCTCAACGTCGATGTAGTCGTAGTGCAGGGTAGCTGGGTCTGTGGTGGAGCCAGTCTCAGCCAATAAGATCCCCAACCATCGACCCATCTCCTCAGAGGAAGTGGCCTTATGGAAAGGACAAGGTTATAGTAAAAAGGATAAAGGTATGGGTTCAAGTTGAGAAGAAATCAAAAGCATTTGATTTTACTTAAGAATGCTATGGTTTCACAAGGAAAATTATAAATGGGAACACATTTGTAGGCAGAGGGTAGCATGCATGTGAGGAAATAGAATCAAAACTAACAAAATGACAACTGGAGGAAGTTCAAATACACATAACATTAAATACACAGACACAAGTCACTGGTTGGTGGAGGACTTGTTTTACCATATAAAAGGAAAACATTTCTAAGCAGTGTTTGCGTGCTCAAGTCCATTCATTTATTCCCTGGCATTTCTGCTTCATCTATTGGCTGACAGTGGAGTTCTAGTAGCTGACTTTGACACACGAGTACACATCTCCTGAAAAACATTATCCAACAGACCATTTGGAGGTCGCAGCTCACCTCCAGTACTGCCACCTCCTGGCCATTACGAAGCAGGCGGAAGGCAAACGGGTGTTTGTGATCCAGGCCAGGACTGACCTCGCAGCCTCTGAGGGGCAGCGAGGCGATGTGGCTCTTCAGGTCGTCACGGTCCTTATGGAGAAGCAGCTGGTTTTCTTTCAGACGGCACCAACGCTCTCTCCAACGGTTATTGGACAACACGTTTAGGTAGCCTGACGAGCAAAGATAACAGTCAGGAAAATAATGTTCATGATTTTAACAATATCTTCATGAATGTGTTGTCATATAAAGTCATTTTTTACATCTTACATTCTTTATAGTATTAAGGTGTAAAGAGATACAACATATTTACATTTTGACAGGAGCCCCTAAGGCTGCGTTTGCTGAAGTGAATTAGTTTTGACTTTACTTTGTGGTAAGTCAGAGGAAGAAAGGCAGATTTCACACAGATTTCATGAACTGATGAATACTGGAAAGGGTTGATGACAAAGGTGGTAATTAAAAATCAGTAAACTGTTATCAGGGGCATGGCGGGGAGTCATGAATCACGTTTGATTTAACAATTACAAAAATTGTCCCTAAAGTTATATCATTGTAATATATCACTTATATATAGGTCCTAATGATACTGGGATTTCCTGCTTGAACATATTACCGCATGCGGGTACGTCTTCTTCTGCTGAAGATGTCTGCTCGTCTGTGGACGGCTTCTTCTTTCCCAGGCCGATAATTTTGGTGATCTTCTTCCCTGCTCCCTTCCCCACCGTCCCAGTCTTCTGCTCAGACTTTGCGTTCTTCTTCCCTTTTCCTAAGAGAGAGAGAACAACTTTCGATGAAGGAACATTTGTAAAACATTGTTATTTAGGTACTCCGCATATTGAATGTGCACTGCGGTCTAACAGAAACATGGGAAATTACTGAGAGAGATGTGTTTTCATTAATGTTGATTCAATTATGTGTGGGTGCTTTTGCAATTCTGTAAGTAAAAAAGAAAAGAGGAGAGAGACAAACTGTAGGCTTTACTATAAACAACCATGAAGTCAGAATCAGTTGCATTCCTTTGAATCAGATCCTTGTGGGATCTAAGGCTCTATGTCTGCTGGTGTAGCTTCCCCACTGGTCTGAGTGGGTTGATTTCAGCTGGCCAGAGGTGGGAGGTAACTAAGTAGATATTGTCCTTAAGTATTATTTTGAGGTACTTGTACTTAACCTGTTAAGCACTGAGCCTGTTTTTCAGGTCTCAGGCTCGAAAATGACATTCCCAGAACAAATGACCATATCTTCCCTTCTAAAAGGGTTAAATTAATAATCTTTGTTCTCAAAGTAATGATAAACCTGTGAGTTGGATGTGGAAAAGTCAGAATCAATATAGATGTTTTTTATTTTAAAGAAAATTCAGATTGAACATAGTAAAAAACTGTAAATTATAGTGTTCGTCCAAAAATTATTTTTTACTTATAGTGAAAACTACCCTTGGATGATGGGTTAGTAGACTAAAAGCTTTAGGAATACAAAGTACAACATATAATAAGTACCCTGTATCAAGATTGATGCAAAACAAGTGAAATTTGACCTTTTTAGAGAGATTTAGCCAAAAGAAACCACTTCTGCGGTCATTTGGGTGGATTTTCCATATCTCTGGCCCCCCTTGGTCGATTTTGATGAATGAAATCTCTTTATAACCGCTAGAGCCAATGGAATCGAGGGAAAGTTCTCTACACACCAACACGTTAACAAATAAGGAGTGAGAGTGACGCGTGGCCAAAACCGGAAGCTGCATACACTCTGTTGGCTACCATTAGCAGCTAACTTTTCCGCTCCGATTTTTACATAAAAATGGAATTATGGATTATAAATAATTTTTTCAAAGCGACAGATACATTATTAACCTATGGATCAACCGATTCAGCCGCGTTTTTTCTCGTTTTAATGCCATTGAACCAGTGTTAATTTCGTCAACGAAAACTATGACGAAAAATGTTCGTCAACGACCTTTTTTACATGACTAAGACGAGACGATGACGAGCTAAAAATAGATTCTTGATAACGAAAATTTGACGAAATGTATATTTAGTTTTCGTTGACGAGACGAGACGGGACTAAGGTGTTAATGGTGGACTATCGGACATTCAAAATGCAGGGTGTTTCCCCCCAAGTGTCCGTCTTGTCTGTCAAAATGCATCTTACATTTCTAACTTCCAATATCATTATTTCCGCTCTCTTCACTCCAGAAGAGCGATCTCCCTCTCTCTCTGTGTGCGGGGGGCGGGGCCTAACAGACACGCTGCAGCGGCAGAGATCTGCCGGGGACGGAGCGTTCAGAGAGTATAGAGACACTCTACAAGACTCGATGTGGACAATGCTCGTTTGCCATGTTTTCGCGTTAGCGCGTTGACACGAGTAGAGTAGTCTGTCCAAACAGCCGGCCAAAAGGCGTCATATTCAGTCGGAGAAATGCACAATTTTCGACTTCCTTAACTCGTAGCTCTGTTGCCCCAATTACGAGTAACGTTATCACATCAGGTGCGCAGAGGTGGGAGAAGTACTGAGATCTTGTAGCTAAGTAAAAAAATACCATAGTGTAGGAAGAGTTCCTCAAGTCAAAGTATGATAATCAAAATATATTTAAAGTAGCCACAGTAAAAGTAGTCATTTTGCAGATTGGTCCATTTCAGAATAATATGATATGTTTTATAATGATTGATCATTAAAGTGTTCTCAAAGCTAGTAAAGGTGCAGCTAGTTTGAAGGACTTTGTATACTGCAGGGTAGCTTGTGAATTTACTAAAGTCTGAGTTAACACTTGATTATATTTCACATCATTCATCCACATCTGTAAAGTAACTAAAGGTATTAAATACATGTAGTGGAGTAGAAGTACACCATTTAACTATGAACTGTAGTGGAGTAGAAGTACACAGTAGCAAAACATTTAAATACTCCAGTAAAGTACAAGTACCTCAACATTTTACTCAAGTACAGTACAATATTTTAACATAATTATACATATTTCATTTATTTCACATTTAAATAAAGCAATTAATTCGGTTAACAATTTGTTAGTTTTTTCCTTTAAAAAATAACAAAAAGTAAATACAAGAATACCGTTAAAGTACCGGATCGATAAGCAGTATTGATAAGACTAGTAGTACCGTAGAAAACCTTAACGATACCCATCCCTAGATATTACACAAGTAAAGTGTTAAGAGAGTGAAATGTTGCTTTACGAATTTCAACACTTGATGCTGTCACCTTGATTACAATTTCAGATACCTGTATTTGCCTAACTGAATTGGTTTAAAGAGAGAAAACATTTGGACTAAAAGTTGACTAAAATGTAATTTTTCATCGACTAAAAGTAGACTAAAACGTTTTGAGTTTTCTTCGACTAAAACTAGACTAAAACTATGAAGGATAGAAATGACTAAAATGTGACTAAAACTAATAACCATTTTCGTCTAAAGACTAAGACTAAGACTAAATCAAAAACAGCTGCCAAAATTAACACTGCATTGAACACGTCTTTTGACCTAATTGACAGCTACGGTGAGACGATCTCCCGTAAAAGCTCCGTAAAGGTACGTGTTGTGATGTCTGTGTTTGCTTCCCCTGTCGCGAGTTCGGATCGCTCAGTGATGATACTATACCTATATAATCTGTGGAGTCTCAGCTTTAATATATATATATATATATTGTATGTGAAGTTACGATAAGTAATAAGGGTATCTTTATCTTGAGTTCTGTGCTAAGTGCGTTAGCATTTTTTCGCTTAGTGCTAATTCAGAGGCTTGGTATTACCCTTGTGTTTTGTAAAAATGGTTCATATCTTCAGTTAGCTGAGATTCTTCTCGTTAATCTGGTGCTCCACATTAATAGTTTCATAAATGTTAAGAAACCCTGAGACACAGTCTCGAAAAAAAACGGTGGGGGGGTCCACTGGGGGGACCCTCGTCCTTAAGAGGTTTTAACATGAGAGATCCATTTTATGCACATTTTTATTTCTACTCTACTACATTTAAAAGGGAATAATGGAATTATTTTCAACAGCTTTAGCTACTTTTACAAAATGCATCTCTAAAAATTATAATTCTTAAATATTCAATTTTTTCAACTAGAGCGTCAAATGTGCGTGAGGCGTTCGCGCGGTAGCCAATCAGCGGGGAGGATCTCAGCTTGCCGTCACTGACGTTGAACCAGAAAACCAAAACATCAGCCGTTAGCTGTTAGCACACGAGGCTCACAAGCTCTCCTCATATCTGTTCAGAAACTGGACAAAAGTTAAACAAGTACAAACCACAGACTGTCTTTGTCATGGCAAATACAGTCGCTGCTTTATTTATGTCTGTAGGACGTTGTTGTGAGTTTGGACGGAGCAGCTACAACGTTAGCTTAGCTTGGTCGATCCGATCTCCATTCAGAAAACAAGCATTTTAAAAGATTTTTCTCCTGCCGTCTGTCTGCACACTTGTCAAAGCATTAATTCATGGTTTTTACTAACCGTTATCAGTATGTTGTTACTTCGGCATCATTTTGAAACGTGTATTACAATTAAATCACGGTAAATATGTTCATTTTGTTGTAGTTGTAGCCCCCTTGCCAGTGCGTCTTGTTTGAATGATGCGAGTAAACACAACTGACAGCAGCGGTGAAACTTGAGCGTTTAGAGTGATGCGATAAGAGCGAAGCGAATATTCGCATCGCGTCCGGTGTGAACGCACCATAAGGAGACTCATAAAGTGTCAGAAAATACAACCCTCTCTCTTTTCCTCCTTACCCACATCTCTAAAAACGAGGGAACAACGGAGCTGATCCAGATTTGCTGCAGTCATGACGGCATTACTAAAATGTGGGCTGAAAAAGGTTCAACGTGGCTTATGATCAAAGATCCAAGTTAGAAAATAAAAGTGTTGGCCAAAAGATGTGATTGAAATGTGTTCCCCTCCACCGATGACATCATCCCAAACGCTCACAATGAGTGTCCAGAGGGAATCTAGACTTTGTATGCTTTCTGAATACAAAAAAACGAAGTAAAGTCAATCGAAGATCGGCTTTAAATGTTTTTTCCCTCCCTATTATGGTTTGAAAACTACCATGGCAACTTAATTAGATAGGAAGCTCTCTGTACTCAAACAGTATAAAACACAGTATAACACACAATGCAGGCTTTAGGGGGAAAGCAGACACACAGATGTGAAAGCGATTGTAAACTTTTTTTAAAAAGAGGAATTATCATTATGTTTCCCCTCCAGGAGACGAAGAGGAGGAAAACTCTGATCAGGGTATTTTGATTCCAGCAAATCAGCTCTTTTTGTTACCATCCATGGAAAGAATGTGGCTGATTTAGCTGAAAAGAGTGTTCAGTACTCAGTGAGGGAATAACTGAAGTAAGACCAATAGGTAAGTCCAGGAACTCACTGGAGTGTATTATTAGGCTCTTTCACACCAAGTACTTTTCCCAGGAATAGTTCCCGGAAATCTTTAGTTCCGGAACTATCTAGTAGATCACGTTCACACCGGAATAAGTCCCTGAGGGAGGATTACGCAAATGAAGCCGCTGACTTCACTTCTTCTTCTTCTGCTTTGGGTTTACTGGCAGGCCGCAAACAACTTCACGGCGTATACTGCCACCCGAAGTCCCCGGCCGGATGTCCCCGGAGTTGGGGACTGGCTTCAGTAGAAGCTGCTGGGACTTCCAGCAGCTTCTACTGAAGCCTTCCGAGTAAATCACCAGAAGCGCAGACACCTCCTCATCTCCACCGCTCCCATGTTTTCTTTTGTGTCGCCATAAGTTAGTCTCTCTCCGTTGGTGCGCTGGGCTAATGCTAATGCGAGCAAATAAAATGGCGGCTTCACAAAACTTTTCGGAGTTTTACGGGCCGTGGTTTGCAATTCACCCAGCCAATAGAAATTGGAACCTTTTCCTCCCCAGGAAACTACCACCTCTCTAGCAGGGACTGAAAAGGGGTGAAAAGGTTCCCGAACAAGTTCTAGTTCTAGATATTTTTGGTGTTAACGCAAAATCCCAGGAACTATCGGAACTATTCCTGGGTAAAGTACTCCGGTGTGAAAGCGCCTATTGGGATTTCCCTGATAATTCTGTTGTATTTAATGGATATCAATAAAAGATCATACATCATATTAAGCCAAGGTGTTTCTACCCCACCCATTTTAAACATTGGATTTACAGTCTGCCAAATGTGTGCCTGTATTACAAAATCATGCCACCAATCTCGCTATTCATTTAGGAAGGCAAGGTGAACACTGCATTAAAGTTATTAACTAGCATTAGCTAATAATAACACTACTTAATTTTCACTGGCTCATGGATACTCCCAGTTACTCCTTAGCTGAAACAATAAGCAAAGAAGGGCAGCCATATCGCGTTTCTTCATCTGGGAGCAAGTGTACACTGGGAGGCTCAGAAAAACGACTGCTACATACTGAATAATGGTATTACATTTAAACTTTTAACAGGACAAAATGGTCTACACCTCGCTGGAGATGTAATAAAAAATGGTATATGATTAAATTAAGCTCTAATGGGAGATTGTTGCTGATCCCATTTCATATTCTCCATAGTTTCACAGCCAAGTCCATGAATCACTGCTCTGTGCTGACTCCATAAAACCCCAGTTGGATTTGGAAAATTAACTGCTAGTGGGAAATCTGTTTCTCAAGGTTCAAGGTTCTTTATTGTCAAACTGACATAGCTACAGAGTAATTATGTTGTTGAAAATCTTATGTCACAGGCTTCTCCAACAATGCAACATAATAATAATACAGATAGTAAAAGTAATACAAAAAGAAAAATAGTTCTAAAATAAAGTGAGTATGTGGAATAGTGCAGCACGAGTCTATATACAAGTTATTGGAATGATATATATTAGATAGTAGATATATATTACTAAGTAGCAGATGAATGTTTTGTTTCTGACATTATGTTAGAAAAATTACCTAATCTTAATGATGAAAAAAATTGTGTTCAATTTAAGTTGACAATCCAAATAACTGAGCTGACAAGCAAAGTGAAATTTCGCACCCCAAGGGATTTTGCCTGCTGAGCAAACAAATGGAAATGACAGACTATTTCACCCATATCTCGTGTTTTTGGTTTCTGGTTCAGCAACCCTCAGTAAATAAAACCAAAAGCCGGAATATATCAGGATATGGGTCCAAATTAAAAACAATTCAAGAACCCGCAACAAAGACATAAAGCGTAACTGTAAGTATTACGGTCATTTAAAAACACATTATATATATATATAATTTATATATATTATAAGATCACCCAAATTTGACAAAGCAATTTCAATGTAAGGTTCAATTACTAACTTTGTCTGGATATTTCCGTTCTGAAAATGTGATGGTCCACATCATTTAAATTGTGTGGTAACACACCCTATATTATATTATTTATTTCTAAAAGCAGTATTTATTCCACTGTACCGTATTTAATTTTACATTCTGTTCTTGTATATATCTTATTCTATTTACATGTATATAGACTCCTGCATGTACTTAGTCAACATTCTCTGCATTATTTAGCTTATTGTATTATTTTTTTTAACATGTATATAGTTTAATTTATCTGCATTACTTGTTCATTGGTGTTTCAACATAATCTTGCACTATTTGTATTCTACTCCGTTTCCTCTTGTACTAATTGTATTGTTTAAAAAAATTGTTTTATTGTTTTATGTCGTATACATATTTATTTTTCATTGTTCGAGGAGCATGGGACTTTTTCTTTCAAGATTTTGATTGCCATGACTACACTGTGGATACTTTGCATATGACAATAAAACCTTTGAATCTTTGAAAAATGTTTTACTTATTTTAACTACCCAGTTAGTCCCCTTTCAATTTCAATGAACCAGAACTTGTCATTTCCTATGCAGGGAAGTTCTTCCAGAAATCTTCTGTGCAAATACATTTCCATACTTTTATGAACTGGATGTTATTTACTCACTTGTGTTACAGATGACTCAGAATCTTACCTTGGTCCTTGCAGTCGCTGTGTCCGTTCTCATGAGTTGCTTCACCATCGGAACTTGGTTTGTCATAAGATGCCTTCTGCCAGTTAGGGAAGAAGGAAGACAAATTAATGCACAAGAAGGTACCAAGTAAAAAAAAAAGAAAGCATCTCAGACACACAGATGTCTTATTACATTTTACATGGTAAAACCCTTTAGAGCAGGGGTGTCAAACTCAAGGCCCGCGGGACCTCATTTTATGTGGCCCACAGAGCTAGCAAAGAATATAATATAGAATACAATTGGTGTAATATTTGCTTTCAATTATTTGCCCTAGACTTCTGCTTTCAGACATAGTTATTTATGAAGTTATTACCAGAACTGATAATAATCCAAGGCAGAGCCAATAACGTAATATAATACATTATTTTATATATATTATATATGTATATTTATAGTCTTAAAGTTACAACCGGCCCTTTGAGCGCAACCATAATGCTGATGTGGCCCGCGATGAAATTGAGTTTGACACCCCTGATTTAGAGCATCTGCAACATGTTTCAGATAAATAATTGGTCCTGAAACTCAACAGCTCCAAGACCGAATCCATTATAGTTGGCACCCCACACCAGGTTCGGTCATCCACCATCACCACCATCACCTTCTCCGGCCAGGACATTACCCTCTCCTCAATAGTCACCAACCTGGGTGTTAAAATGGACGCCCATCTGACCTTTGAGGCCCACATTAAACAGCTGTGCAAGAACTCCTTTTATCACCTCAGGAACATCGCCAAACTCCGCCCCACACTCACTCTGTCTGACGCCGAAAAGCTGGTCCACGCCTTTGTCTCCTCCAGGCTGGACTACTGCAATGCACTCCTCATCGGGATCCCTAACAAAAGCATCCAGAAGCTCCAGAACATCCAGAACAGCGCTGATAGGATCCTGATGAGGGTGCGCAAATATGATCACATCACCCCCATCCTTAAAGCACTACACTGGCTCCCCGTGGAACTGAGGATCGAATTCAAGGTCTCCGTCCTCACCCACCAGTGTGTCCATGGAACTGCCCCTCCCTACCTCAAGGAACTCCTCACCACCCATACCTCCTTGCGGACCACCCGCTCCAGCAACTCCAACTTGCTCAAACCCCCCAGGACTAAGCTCCGTACTATGGGAGACCGGGCCTTCTGCTCGGCTGCTCCCAGTCTGTGGAATGCTCTCCCCGACCACATGAGAGCATGAGGCTTTTAAAAAAGGCCTCAAAACCCATCTCTTCAAAAGAGCCTTTGCCTAGACCTTTTTACCACCCTTTTATTTATTTTTTATTGCTTTTTATTAATTCTACCGTGTTGTGTAATGTCTATTTATACTGTTCATGCTCACTGCTTGTAGCACTTCGGGATTTGAAATCAAATATGAAGTGCTTTATAAATGGAACCCATTATTATTATTATTATTTGTTGTGTTAACTGTTTTAAATTGGGTGCCTTTTGTCTTTAAAGAGCTTCTGATGTAGCTCATTATCCACCCACATGTTTATATGTAGGCACTCAAAGGGGCAGCAATTAAAGTATGTCATATAAAGAGTCATGTTACCTGCTTTTTCCACTGAAAACACAAAACTGAAGTTACCTACTGTAACTCCAGCTTCTATGAGTATAGGCGTAGCCCTCTAAGGCAGTGATTCTCAAATGGGGGTACGCAGACCCCTAGGGGTACGTGGGGGTACTGCAGGGGGTACGCGAGAGAAAACAATAAAAAAGGTTAATAAAAAAAATGCTTTTTTGCTTATGCTTGGTACAACTTGTATTTGCCGTACTCGCCATTAACTGTTATTGCTCAGGTTATTCTCGCCCCCCTCCGACGTAAGTGTGAAGTATTGGTACTTCGGCAGCCGAATGGGGCCAGCTAGAACCGGTTTTCGGTACTTAGAGGCATTGTATGCGGTATCACTGCTCATCGCTAAAGCCAAAAAGCCGTTCACGATCGCTGAGGACCTGTTACTCCCAGCTGCTGTTGTTTTGGCCGAGACGATGCTGGACAGAAGTGCCGCGGAGAAGTTCAAAACGGTGCCTCTTTCTAATGACACCGTTTCACGCAGAATAGAATGAATGGGAGCAGATATTGTTGAACAAGTTGTGGGAAAACTTGGCGAAACATTTTCACTCCAGCTTGATGAATCGACCGATGTCAGCGGTAAGGCTCAACTCATTGCTTTCGTGAGATACGTGGATACTGACGACATTTATGAAAATGTGCTTTTCTGCAAGACCTTAGAGGGGAAAACAACGGGGGAGGACATTTTTAATGTTGTGAATGATTTCTTTATTGAAAACGAGCTGGACTGGAGAAACTGCATGAGTGTCTGTACTGACGGAGCTGCCTCAATGACGGGCCGATTTAAAGGGCTCATGGCACGTATTAGGGATAAAAATCCAGAAGTGCAGTGGAATCACTGTGTCATACACAGGGAAGTACTGGCGGCCAAAAAGCTGAGTCCTGTGTTGCATGACGTTTTGAACAACAGCATCAAAGTGATTAACTTCATAAAGTCAAGGCCACTCAATGCGCGTCTGTTTCACCGCCTTTGCGAGGACATGGGAGCTGAACACACCCAACTACTGCTACACACAGAAGTGCGCTGGCTCTCTCGGGGGAGGATACTGAGCAGGCTGTTGGAGCTACGATCGGAGGTGCACACCTTTCTGTCAGAGCAAGGATCTCCCTGCTATGCCACACTGTTTGAGGACACAGATTGGCTTGCAAAGCTTTGCTATCTGGCAGACATATTCAGCAAATTGAATGAGCTGAATGTGTGCATGCAGGGAAAGAACACCAATATTCTGAACCTGTATGACAAGGTGGGTGGTTTCGTAAAGAAAGCAGAGTTGTGGAAACGGGCATGTGCACAGGGGGATCTCACCTGCTTTCCTCAGGTAGATGCTTTCCTCTCCAGTGAGGATGTGCAGAGCGCTCCAGTCAAGTTCATTATAGAGGAACACTTGGCCAACCTGATAGTTAGTTTCAAGTCGTACTTTCCTGACATGGAGGATAAACCTGCACAGCTTGATTGGGTAAGAAACCCATTTCTTCTGTCAGAAGCAAACAGAGAAAAGCTTCCTCTCTGTCACCAGGAAAAACTCTTGGATGTGTCATCTGACGGCCTGATGACATTTGAAAACTCCACTCTCACGCAGTTTTGGGTGTGTGTGAAAAAGGAGCATCCTGAGCTGGGAAAAACAGCTTTGGAGCAGCTACTGCCCTTTGGATCCACATATTTGTGTGAGGCCTCCTTCTCTGCAATGACTCTGATCAAAACAAAGCAGAGAAACAGACTGGGCCTGGAAAAGAGTCTGATCACTGCTGTGTCCTCTCTGCCACCAAGGATGACCAAGATCCTCAGTGAAGGACAAGCACACGTTTCACACTAAATTGAGTGCTAAAGTGCTCTTATTATTACTTGTTAGTGTTATTGCAATTTATAATTTATTTATTATTACAATTGTTTGTTTTTTTTGCCAATGTTTTGACACTAAATTGTATTTTCTATTTTCAAATGCAGTTTAATGCACCTAAAACTCATTAATAGTGTCATTGCAGTGTTATTACGTAGTTTTTATTGTAATTGCACATTTTTGTTACAATGTTTTGTTTTGTTTTTAACCCTTTCATGCATTGTGACGGCTTATTTAATGCTGTTTTCTTGTTTATGCATGGGGTTTTGGATGGTAGCACATCAGGCACCACATTTTATTATAATATTTGTTTATTGTATTTTATAGTTTTTGCATAATATAACATTTTGTTCATTGGTTCGTTAAACATATAATTATTACTTAGAAATCTGTCGTTATGTTCTTTGATTGTTGTAATTCATGGATGAAGGAGTTCATAAATCACACACTGATGGAACATCACTATATTGTAATTATTTATATAGGCTTTTTCTATCAAAAATGTTCGGGGTCGGTCAGGGGGTACTTGGCTGAGAAAATGTTTCAAAGGGGGTACATTACTGAAAAAAGTTTGAGAAGCACTGCTCTAAGGCTATCGCTATTGGGCTAGCGCACCCGCGCAGCACTGAAAACACTTGTAGTCCACGCCCACCTGCGAGGTGGGCCCAAGCCCCCAGGAAGTGCGCCGGACTCTGTGCCCAAAATTCGTTGTGTCCAAACGGCGGTACTGCAACTTCCGTATCAGTCACCCGGCCCAAAACAACTTTTTCCCATTGACTAACATGGGGAAAGAGACGTCTGTAAATCAACTAAATAAACTACTCAGTATGAACTATTTTATAGCCCTTATTAGAATCATTAAGTCCTTACATTTGTAAAATGCAATAAAAGCATATAAAAGCATATTTTCTCGCTCCATTCATTCTAGTGAGCCGAGAGTGGGAGCTCGGGGGGCGCACATACGGGTTCTTCTGCTCTGACAGCCAGGCATGACGGGCAATCTGTGACGTTTCGCTCTCTCAAAAGTTGGGCCATTTTGCCTTCATGCTCCAATGAGTAGCTCTCATAGGAAAGAACGAGACCCCGCCTCCAACGCTGTATCCAGTTCTTATTATACATCCATGGGTGGGCCCCACCTTCGGACTCACTTCCGGTATAAATAGGAAGGAGGCCCGACAATCTGCTCCCACACAGCCAGTGGGGCCCAGAACTTAGAGGGCTACGCCTATACTCATAGAAGCTGGAGTTACAGTAGGTAACTTCAGTTCTATTTTGTATATGGCTTCGCCCGCTAAGGCTATCGCTATTGGGTTAAGGGCGAAGCATGATGTAGTCTGGGCCCCACTGGGTCCGCCCGGTACCAGAAGCACAGACACACCTACTCAAAAAATAACCCATGCCTATTGGCGCATCAGAGTCCCTGGAATATAGCATAACATGAATATTCTCCATGAGGGGACGAAGGCTGGGAACAATACAACCCTGCCGCTGTGAACAAGTAGAGCCGAAGCTCACACTTTGTCCAGCGATAAAAGAGGGGGAACAAGGGCAGCTCTCTGCAGGAGAGAGCGCACAGCTGGATCCCTGACATCACTCACTCTGACAAGACACTCCGTACAGGGTGTGTCAGAGAGGAATGG